AGAAGAGCTAACATTAAGAAAGTGCCTGCTGTATGCCAGAGTCCGTTCTAAGAGTTTACGTGTATTGATTCTTTGCACGTGTATTGATTCCTCGCACAAACCATTCTGCAGGTGAGGAAAACCGAGAAACAGAGAAGTCAAATACTGGTCTAAGGTTGCACAGCCAGTAGGAATTAGAGTTTGATTTAAAAGCAAGCATCTAGTTCCAGAAGAGCTCCACTTAACCTCTCTCTTATACTGCGCAAGGGCCTGGAAGTAGGAATATGTCTGTCCTGTTCTAGATACAGAAAGAAGGTTGGCGATACAAGGTCAGAGAAGCAGGCAGGCGCGTGTCGTGCAGGCAGAGAACGGCATCGGAGATTTGTCGGGAGAATTAAATAAGAAAACCTGCAAGCATAGGCGTGAGCCCAGCGCCCGCAAGCAGCGGGCACACGTTGCAAGCCCGTGTCCAGGCGGAAACCCAGGGCTGGCAGATGGGAGTCTGCAGAGGGCCAGGCAGATGGAACGCGTTAGCCCCAGAAGGGTGTTTACGAGGGGTTCTGACGGGGAGAGCGGGAGAGGCTTCCAGAATGAGAGCCTTAATCGGATCTGACCACTGCGTGCATGCAGCCAGGGTCAGCCTGCGCCATCTGCCTGCCCTGTCCTTAGCCGCGGCACTTGGGATTCCAGGCCCTGCCGCGCTGTCCTGCTGGGGGGAGCCGGGCCCGTCCTGGCTGCTCTTTGAACCTCCAGGCTCGGAAGAGCTTCCTTGAGAGAGAAGCCGATTTCAAAAGAAGCAACCGCCCCTGCAGGCCCGCGTTCTCGCTGGCACGCTGGCTCTGTCGCGGGAGTGAGGAGGGAAGGGAGGCCGTCGCGGGGGAGGGCCAGGCAGCAAGGATGGACATCGTCCCGCCACTGGGATGAACACGGCAGTTCACGGGGCAGGTGCTGGAGCCCCGGGACAAGCCCTGCTGGCCGTGGAGACACCTGTCTTCATTCTGAGATCCCCGGGAAGTCGGGGTAGCTGGTCTGGGTCTACCGGGTGGCAGGAAGAGCCAGCACAAAGCGTTACCCTGCCTGCTCTCCAGGTACTACCGCGCTGGAAGGCACACGGTCACGTGAGGCAGGAACGAGTGTCCCCCACTTTGCAGATGAGCCTCAAAGAGAACCTCGTCAGTGGCCGAGTGTGAGCTCTTAAACGCGCCACGTAAACTGCGCTTTGAACCCCAGATGGAGGGGAGGCGGGCGCTAGAACTCCTCATGGGAGGAGCTTCCGCACCTTACAGTGGGGTCCCGGTCCCGAAAGGGGGTGTGGCTGGGCAACGTCACCAGCCGCGCCTGCAGCCCAGGACTCCTGCATTCAGGAATTTCTTCTCTCTTTCATTTCCTTTCATCTCACAACCAAACGGCTCTTGAGGACAAAGACCTTCCGGCATTTCTCCCAAAGCCCCTCGGGTGCGACGAGCACAAACGGGACACTCTGCCCACCCTCCTACCTGGGGAGGGATGTCACCCCAAAGAGGAAAGACATCCTGCAGGCGCTTTGAACATGTCGGGCTGTTACCAAAGAACTTCTCTCTCTTGAGGGCTCGGAGCCTGTGAAATCAATGGTGAATTTGGTACCTGGAAAGTTTAGTGCTGACGGGGGCCCTAGCTGGAGGGACGAAAGGGCTGTTGGCTGAGCAAGGCTGCTCTCCACACGCCGGAGCTAAGGCAGGCACCTTCGGTCACCAGGGAAAAGCCAGGCCCGCTCGTTGCCTGTGTGCATTATCTTTAGCTCTGCGCTGGGATCCATTAGCTGGAATCGTGCCCCGGAGGTCAGGCAGGCTGCGCTGGAGATTCAACAGACGAACCTTCTCTAATGATGCTTTAAGTCTCAGCATCCGCGCCCCATCATGAGTGGCGCCTGGTGGCCTGTGGCCGCGGGAGCTCCCCCAGACAGTGCACAGGGGAACTGGGACGCTCAGACTGGAGTATTCTGTGCCTGCCTCGTTAGGACAAGGGGTGTGCACAGAGCACTGTGCGAATCGGGGGCGCAGTCCAGGGAAGGCGCTGATCCTAGCTACTTTCCCCATTAACTGGCTCGAATGTCCCCTCCTTGGAGACCACCGATGCAGAGTGACCCTGACCCCAAGCCACCCTCTGGCGCAGCACCCTGGACGTGCCCTTCACTGCCCTCCTCACCCCGGCGATATTCTCATGCGTGTGTTAGATCCGCCTCCCTCCGTCACTAGGATGCTGGGTCCCCTGTCGGCAGGGACCACGCCTGTTTTAAATTTTTGCAGCATCCCAATACCGGAATGGTGCCTCGACAACGGCCAGTACCTCTCTGTTGAATGAATTATCCTGTGTTCTATGAAAAACACCGACGGATATTGTCGAATCGTAGACACTGTGCCGTGTCGACCACAAGACACATCTCTATTCCGAAGATGTTTAAACGTGGACGCGTGTCGATTAGATTCCCTGTGCTGGCTACCGAGCATTGCAAGTGCCCATCTGTGTTGCACATTCTTCTTCCTGTCCTCGTTCCTGGGGCTGTTGCTGGGCAAGTCACGGCCCTTCTCCGGGACGCTGCTCCTTCATCTCTCGAATGTGCATCCGCCCAGAGGCCACGCCCGAGGTCCTCTCCCGTTCGGGTGTGATGACTCCTATTAACCTGCGCACTGGACACGCTGCCGGCCGCCCTGCTCAGCTCTCACGATTCTTTGACCCCGCACAATGGCCTGGCTTCGCTTTCTACAACCCCCTGCTCCAGGGATATTCACGCTGCGCTGCAAGGTGAGAGGAAGGAGGAGGCAGAAATGCGTAAGGGATATGACCCCGTTTCTGCAAAAGGGAAATGCCCGGAAAACTCTCACGTGTGTGTATAGATTTGCCAATAAATGTGTGGTCAAACACTAGTATGCATGCTCCGTCCCATTCTTACAAAATTCTCTCCCTCCATATGGGTACATAGGTGTGATAAATGACTTCCAAACTGCTCACGGTGATTTTCTAAGGGTGAGGGAAGTACGGGTGGTTCTTTCCTTCTTAGAGTTTTCTGAAACAGTTGATTTATTTAGTTTTTGACAAAGAGCATGCACTACTCATATAATCAGAAAGAAGACCTCCAAAACTGTTTCAGGTTGATAAAAAAAAAATCTCAGGAAAATGAATTAGACAAAACATACACGCAGCCGTCACTTACGTCGTTATCCTTGCCGGGCGTGCAAACCTGACCCTAAAGGTGAGGAAATACCAGAAAATCCTATTCTATTAAAAACATGAGGAAAAGACTGCATCCCACAAAAATGTTCCATGTCTTAGCAGACAAGGAAATGCATAAGACCTGCTTCAGCTTAAAGGAGATCAGAGGACACAGCAATGACATGTGACACGTGACCCTAGATTGGACCCTGTATTGCAGAAAACTATGTTCTACAGTTTGCCAGCTGACAAACTTGGGAAAAGCTTCTGCACAGCCAAGGAAACTATCATGAGAGCAAACAGACAACCTACAGAATGGGAGAAAATATTCACACGCTACACACCCGATAAAGGGCTGATAACTAGAATCTATATAGAACTCAGGAAAATCAGCAAGAGAAAACCAAACAACCCAATCATCAGAGACCAAATGCATAATTTATAGCCTGAAAAAGTCCTTGCATTGTCTTACTCTTTAAGCAAACACGGCGGGTACGATGTCATGACTAATGGCGGCAAAGACCGGGGATTACTGTTCTTCCACGAGAAACGTAAGACTCTGGAGCAGGCGTTGCTCCAGGCAACCCTTTTCTGGGAAGGGCACATGGCAAATACATTGGACTTTCTGAGCCACGTGGACTCTACCAACTACTCAGTTCTCCTGTTGGAGCACAAAGGGAGCCACAGACAGCATGAACACATCGAGTGGCTGTGTTCCAATGGACTAGATTTGGCCCGTGGTTCGTAATTTGCCAACATCTGCTCTAGAAGAGTGGTCTTAAATAGTTGCCTCATGGCATCTGCCACTCTGCACATGCATTTTCATTTTTAATATTTTGCCCATTAAAAAATAACCATTGGTTGCCGACACTGAAAAATAATTTTTTTTAAACATAAAATCCAGGTTTTCGGCTCTTTTGGACATAGAGCAATACTGAGCTCAAGTTTACTCTTGACCGCGGCTGGTTGCAGCAGTTTCCTTACTGGGAAAAGCGAAAAACAGAATCTCGGCTGCTCTCCTAGACTAGGACAGCTACTACCTAGGCGTTCAGGGTTTGACCCGTGATACAAAGCGTAAGCGATGGTTCATCAAGGGATGAGTGGATAAAGAAAAGGTAGTAAGTATACACAACAAAGACCATGCGGCCTTAAAAAATAAGGACATCCTGTTATTTGGGACAACATGGATGAACCTAGAGGACATTACATTAAGTGAAATAAGCCAGGCACAAAACGAAAAATAGTGCATGATTTCACTTCTATGTGGAGTCCAATAAAGTTGAACTTATAAAAGCAGAGAGCGCAAAGGTGGTCGCAGTGGCTGTGTAGGGGGAGGTTGCGGGGATGTTGGTTAAGGGGTACAAAGTTTCTGTTAGACAGAAGGACTATGTTCCATAGATCTATGGTGCAATATGGTGACGTTAGTTAATACCAATAAATTATATTCTTGAAAGTTGCTAAGACAGTAGATTTTAAGAATTCTCACCACAAAAAACGATACATATGTGAGCTAATGCATGTGCTCATTAGCTCCATTTGACCATTCCACAATGCATATGTATTTCAAAACAATACCATGTATTGTACATGATAAATATATACGATTATTATTTTTTTTAATAAATAAGGAAATAAAGAAAGAAAGAAGAAAGAACAAACAAAACCCAGCTAGGCCGGCGTGATGCCCAAATAAAAAGATGGGAATGGGAGAGTTGAGAGACTCAGTTGAAAGTCAGTTGTATATCAGCCTCTGCAAAGCTGGACCTCATGTTTCCGTGTAGACCTTCCCGGTGAATGGGACGCTCCCTCCCACTGGGTGTGGACTCACTTACTTTGATGACATCCTCGTCCGTGGACTTGCACTCCACCGACTCCGAGATGTCCGTCACGGTGCTGTCCTCCTCCACGGAGACCACCTTGATGGGCAAGGCCACCGTCTTTCCCGTGAGGATGGCGGTGTTCAGAATTTCAGTGTCCTGCAAAGGAACCAGACACAGCTGGGTCGATGGAGATGCTCAATCCTGCTGGGTGCCGGACAGCGCAAACCTCTCAAGGCAAACACCAGGATGTCCTCGTTTAGACAAGACACACAGCAGCACTGACCTTAGGAACCTGCGCAAAGGGGCCATTCTTTGTGGAACAGTCTCCTAAGAATGTTCAACAGTTCACTTTTGGTTTATGCATGATCATTTTCCTAGTTCCCAACAATTGAAAAATATCTGTTTTTTCTTCTCTATTACAGAGACCAAGCAGAAGAAACACATTAGTTGGGTGTTGGCTGCAAGGAACAGAAACTAACTCTGGGAACCCTGAGTAAGATGGTACCATGGTGGGTTGAGGGGTGTCCTCCCTCCGCCGCTTGCAAAAGATACCCAAGTTCCGAATTCCAGGACCCGTGACTATGCGTCCCTACATGGTAAAAAGGATTTCAGAACTGTGATGAAATTAAGGATTTTGATTGGGGGAGATTATCCTGGATTATCCAGGGGGGATCAAGGTAACCCTAAGGTCCCTATAAGAGGGCACCATCAGGGTCAGAGACAGAGAAGGGGGTGTGGCAATGGAGGCAGAGGTCAGAGTGACACGGCCATGAGCCAGGAGATGGGGACAGCCCCTCGTAGCTGGAAAAGGCAAGGGACAGGTATTTCTCCCAGAGCTCCCGCAGGAGTGCGGCCCTGCCCACACCTTCACCGTAGCCCCAGAAGACTCATTTCCGGCTTCCGCCCTCCAGAACGACAGGATGCTGAATTCGTTTTAATCCGTTAGAGCGGCGTCAGGAAACTCACACAGATATCCATTGCCTAGATCCCGGGTTGCTGCCGGAATCAGAGGAAAAGCTGAATGAGGCTCTGCAAAGGCCAGGTCACCTTCGAGGACGGGGACAGCAGGAAATGACGGCATCACCCCAGAGTAAGGCGGCACGCATGTCTCCCGCCATTTCTGCTCTTGAGCCACCCGCCCTAAGATGCAAGTTCCCTGGAGGGAGGGTGTGATGGGTCTGACTTGGGTCCCTATGCAGAGGGGAGCAGGGCGCTGTGACCAACTGGACGCCCATGACTGACTGCAACAGGACAGAGGCAGTGTTTAAAGACCAGGATCGTGCCGTGGGAAGAAGACAGGATGCACAGATTCCGGGAGGGCAAAACACCACCACAACAGCAGCAGCAAGAAACGTCCACTACAAGACCAACGAGTCAGGTCATTTTTATCCCCAAATGCCTGTCCTCCCTGCGTGTGGGCAAGTCACCAGACCCCTGGGGCTTCCTTTTTAAATGAAGACTTAAGCAGAGCAAACCCCTGCTGCTCCGTGGGGCTCGTTCCATCACAGCCGTGGGGCCTTGGCGTAGCCCGTTCACCCTGACTTCGCGTAGAACTATTCGCATCAAGCCACCCATACGAGTCGTGATTTGCAGAGTGATGAAGAAAATACCTTCTTCCTGAGTTTTCGGGACACTCGCTGCTTGCCCTTTGGCAATCCTGCTCTTTACGGCCAGATGAGAGTGAAAAAGGTCATTTGGCTTTGGAGCATCTAGCGACACCTTTCACCTTTGGGCCGATTTCTCCCGAAGCCTCTCTCCGGAAACGCGGCTCCACTTTGAAGCGGGAAAGAGATTTCCTCTGTTCTTTCTCCAGGGAAGCAATTGACACTGAAATGACCTTTTGCATTAAACAAGAGCACAGTGGAAAGAGTTATGAGCCACAAGCAGAGTCTCAGCTTCTCTCTGATGCTCGCACGTCGGCCGGCAGTTAAACAGCACTCTGCCGCGTCTCCGGGTTCCTGCGGCTGGGCTGCTACCCGGGCAGCGTGCGCGGCGGCTATTACGGATGCTAAGAATACCGCAGAAATCCCGCAAGTCCACGTGCGGGTTCATTACAGGTAATGTGCCCGCGGTTCCGTCTCCACATTTTCTCGCTCGGAACGGTCTTCGGCTAATGGCTTCGTTAAGGCAGCACACTCCTCGTGGATTAATTGTGACTCACCTTCTAACGGTTTGCAGTTTTACACACACGCACACACGCACACCCTAACACTCCCTACCCCTAAATTGCATTTCACCGAAATTAAGACTGGTTGGACGTTAGGTGTTTTTCACTGATGAATATTAATTTCAGGAGCACAGAATGGACAGTCATAGAAATATCAAATGATAGAAGGAAACTTTGGCCTCCAGGACAGACGGGCTATGCCACACGAAGAAAGTTTTCTGTATTTAAAGATCACTTCCTGGACAAATAATTCTGGCATCTGTTGCTCGCTGGGCGCTGGAACTCCGGAATCTCGAGTTCTACTCAGTGCTTTGCCATTAACTTTCGGTACCACCCAGATTCCATCGCTTGGAATCTTCGCTTCCTCATTTTATAAATTAGGTGTTAGGCCACCTCATCTCTAACTGTCTTCCTGACCGTCCGATCCTAGACATCTGTCTTCGTCCATTTGGGCTGCCACAACAAAGTGTCGCGGACCGGGGAGCTTCCAAACAGCAGGAATTCACTTCTCACGGTTCTGGAGGCTGGGGAGTCCAAGTCCAAAACTTGGGGTGTGGTGAAGGTGGAGCATTAAAAACGTGTGTGCGTGTGTGTATGTACACACGTATGTGTGTGTGCCTGAGTGTGCGTGATCTGACGTAGAGGGCACAGAATTCCACGTGCCTGGTTGCACCAGCCAAATACCTTTTTGATTGAGGTCCATTCTCAGTGGTGTGCCTAGTGCACTATTTCAGTGCCTAAAATCGTACTATTTTCTGAAACCCACCCAAACCCCAGCTGGAACAAGAGGAACATGCCCTGTGCATGGCCCGGCAGGGAGCAGATGCCGCCTCCATTTACCCTGTGGCTTAGCGACACTCGGGGGACGGTTTACACTGCTGGCTGCCTTCCCCCTGTCCCCACCTGGGCCATGGCCAGTCCAGCATTCCCGCGGTCAAGAATCTGTGTGTATCTTTCCAGTTTGTGATTTTACACTTTTACCGCATATCCCTGCCTATGTAGAGAAAACATGGCATTGTCTCCCGCTTCTGTCTTTTACACAAGCATGTTTTATGTAGTTTCTATATCAGATTGGACTTTCGCCAGCGTACTATTTTGCCACTCAACATTATGTTTTCATGATCCCCCGTCTGTACCCTGGACCGTTTATCCCTATTTAGATCCGTATCTACGTACTGATCGAGGTCACCTGTCTTAAAGGCTGGCTGCAATTCCATCACGTCCCTTTTCCGTGTTTTACTTTTCCATTTCCCTATCCACGGAAATTTAGAGTGTTTTGCATTCTTTGCTTTCACAACTGACTAAATCTCTCCGTGTGTGTGTGTACCCAGGGTTCGTTAGCCTCTGATCCTGGAAGTTAAATTGCTAGACGGAGAGTCTACACGTTTTTTTCTTTGACCCTGCCACCCGGGGCTGCCCAGGGGTTGTCCTCATCCTGTCCCCTCAGGAGCTAAGAGTGAGCAGAGAGGTGGCCGCAAGGGCCTCACCCCGGACTGGACAAGCTACTGCAAAGAGCAACATGCATAGCTTCCGTTTCTCTCTGACTCATTTCCTGACATCAGTGACTCTCAAATCCAGGCTTCCCCTTCCTTCCACCTGCAGCCAGAGACGCAGTCCACCCCGTGAGCTCCTCCCCCATCCAGCTTTGCAGGAGGAGTAGCAGGTGAGTGCTCCACCTCCACCTGAGCAGGTGTCCACAGAGCTCCATCCCCTCTGGGGACTCCTGGGGCTGACTGCAGACCAAGACTTCCACGTTCTCCCTGAAGAAGGTAACGCAGAATGAATTCAGTTCCTAGGGAAGTCTACTATTTACTGATTCATAGTAAATGCTGAGAAGAGAGATGGCAACCACGTGCTGTTTCTTGGAAAGAAAAAGAAAAAGGCTGAGTTTTTATGGGGAGAGGAGCACGTCACGTTGGATTTCACAGACCGATTAATACAGCGCAGAGGCCAAATCTTGCCGGTGTGTGATTTTCTGTGAACCTGTGAGCCAAGAAGGATTTTTACACTTGTCAAGGCTTGTAAAAAAAAAAAAAAGGAAGAAAAGAAAAAGAATGTGCAACAGAGACTGTGTCCCACAAAGCTGAAAATATTTACTCGCCAGCCCTTTATAGAACAGCTTTGCTGATCCCCGAACGAGAGCATTTTTCCAGCATGAAGGGGCGTCTTGCACCCAAGGGCCTCTCCTGACCCCTGGGTGTCAGGTCATTTGCTCTGGTGGAGCTGGGGGCCTCGTCCTCGCAGATGCCAGCTCCTGCCTTCCACGGTTACCGCCTCTGATGCAACGTGCGGCCCAGCAGCCAATGGCTGTGCCGATTAGCTTGAAAGTGGGGTTCTGGATTCAGGGCTGAGAAACCCAGAGAAGTGTCATCTGATTAACACGCTGACTTTGTTAGGTGCAACCAGCAATTTGCATAATCCTGTGACTAAGAACGCATTAGGCTCACACAACACACAGGCGCTGGAGGGAGGCCTCGCGCATTCCACCCACTAATGCAATTTTCCCTTCAAGCAGGCTGAGCGCAGACCCCAGCTCGCTGGCACGGTGCGGTCTGACAAGCTCTCCCATCGGGAGAGCAAAGGGAACACTGTCACCGCTGGCTGTAGACGGCAGGCCTGCTGAGCAGACCGGGCTGGACCTGCTATCGGACCACACAGCTCCTAATGAACCCTCGGGGTTCTGTATAATCTCATGGTGGGATTGATTGAAAAGCTGCTCGGGGAGATACCGCTGGGCAAATGCGCTGCCGACGGGGACGCTCACGTTCCCATCCTTTCCTCTGCAGTGGCTTTAGAGTCCACAGGAGCCGTGGGAGCCGGAAGGTGGCAGGGCCGGGGCGGAGGAGGGGACGCTTCTTACAGGAAGGCTTTCTCTTCCGGACACGTCTGCAGGGAGCAAGAGAGAAGACCTTCTCCATCCATACGTCGGCGGGCCCGTCCACGCTGCGTCGTTCTCAGCCGTATTTTCTCCTCTGTCCTCCCTCGACTT